ACTGCATTATTAAATAATTTAAGTAGTGTAGGTTGTTTAATAATTGATTAAAATAAGTTTGGAGCAAGAAAGGTTAAACAACCGAGAACCGTTACAATTGGATGTGTTTTTTAACTTAATTGAAAGTTCATGAACCCCGTTATACTTCACTTGATAAGCATCTATTGTTCATGTAATTTTTATTTTATTTTTTGGGTAATTCAATGAGAAAAATAAGCTCCTACCCATTTTGTTAAGTAACCCGATAACTAGGATGTGGGGTTGTTACCATCACGACCCCAACTACTCTCCCATTTGTCATGCATTTGGTTACTTCTATTGGTAAGATCTATGGCAAACTGAGACCAACAAAAGTTATATAAAGGGTCAATATTATAATAGTTATTTTATTTGTCAAAAAAAAATTTATAATACTTATAGATAAAATATCAAAAAATGGGTTAAAATTTATGAACTAAACTCGATGGCATGTTTTTAAACTTCTATATCAATCAAGTATGTTTATAATAAAAATGTATTCCGAGACTGCTTCGGTGTTGGGAAACATGAACAATTAGGGGTATTTTGATAATTTCTCCCCTAAAGAGGCCTTCATTGAATGAAAAGTGGAGACAAAATTACCAATACATCAAGGACCCGGTTTCTATGTGGCCAAGCCCGCATATGTAGAAATGCAGGCTTATTAATATCTAACATGCAAATCATGGATATGAAAAATAAATAAATTTTAAAAACTAAAAATAACAATTCTAATAAGAAAATATTTGGACCGTTAGTTTCTATTGTTTTTAGATGGAACACCTATTTGCATCCATAATGGACACTTTAGACTTTTTGGACCGCATATGTAGTCATGCGGTCCAACCCGCATGAAGCAATTTTTCATACGTCAAATTATTATGGCTTCCTAGCATTGAATAGGGGCTATTTGAAAAAAAAAAAAAAAATTATATATTTTATAAAGATGTACCTGATTGATATAAAAATGAAAAGTACCCTCTAAAGTGTAATTTGTAACCTTTTAATCCCTTCAGTGAGATTTTAAGAAATTTTAACCTTTTTTTATACTTTTACACATTTATATAATTCACCGATTTTATACTAAAAATAAGACAACTCAAAAACCCAAAGAAAAATACCTTTTTTTATACTTTCACGTATTTATATAATTTACCGACTTTATACTAAAAATAAGGCACCACTCAAAAACCCCAAAAAAAAATGTTGTTTGACGTTGAAAAATACTCCAGTTGATCATCTCGATCATGGGATGTATTGTTACGAAAAGTATAGATTTTTTAGCCTTAAAACTAGGGCGTGATGTTTCTGATAATACATTATTTGTAATATCCATTTTCAAATTTTTAAGTATTATCCAATTGATCATCTTGACTGTGATTTTATGGTTAGCATTGAAAAGTTTATTTGGGGAATCACCTAATAATTCACAATCCACACTAAGTGATAGTCGTGATTCCTCTATATTATAATGTAAATAATGAAAAACTAGGCCAAGCATAATTAGCCAAATCCATTTAAAACATACGTCTTCCTTAAAAAACAGTACCTTTTTTTGAAAAAAGTGTTGGGCGAGATTCTTGAAACATCTTCAAGCAAATTTTATCTTTTTAGAAAATGAAACATTATTTTGTTTTAACATATTTAAAAGGACATTTCGAAAAATATTGATTACTAACATTATCAATTCAAAATCTTTGTTTTTCTTCCAAGTTAAGAATAATATTAGCTTCTTCTCCATTCTCATTCACTCTGATTTCTTTGGTCGACCTTTTGACTATGTCATCAAAACCAAATTAATAGCTTACATTGTGTAGCATACTGCTCCTCAACTAAAACAATCATGACTTTCTTACCATCAACGTTTAGAACTACTAGTAATTTCGTAGTGGTTCTCCAATTTATTGGAGAGGTAGCTATTATATTTCAGTAGTGCTTTAAAAATCAGAAATGGATCTTAAAGCGGTGGGGTCCGATTCTGAATCTAAGGCAGAATCAAGGCAATTTCGTGATTCCCATGTTAAAACGGCCTACCTACTTATCATGATCCGTACCAAGTAGTTTTGATTCATATCGGCGATTAATCTTGATCCGAACCTCGCAGTTATGATTCAAAGCTGCATTTAATCCTACTCTGAACCAACATTCTCAATCTCAAATGTTTTTAGAAAAAAAAAAAAACAAAAGAATCAATGCAATTTCGGGATTCCTCGTATTAAAATGGCCCACCAAGTAATCAGGATCCGAATCAGGTAATTCTGATTCGTATCAACGATTAATCCTAATCCGAACCACACAATTATGAATCAGATCCCTGATTAATCCTGATCCGAACCAGGCAATCCTGATTCATATGGACGATTTTTCAAAGAGTTTCCCACCATTATCTTGCTGATAATGAGAGTACTTTGGGAATTAATTTTTTTATTTTCTAATAATTCGAAAATAAATTTCTCTCAAATTTCTAAACCATAGTAAATTACAGGGTCAAGCTTATCGCTTTGCGGACTTGCGACGAAACTTCGCCGAAATTTCAACGGAATCATCGAGACTTTCGCGTGCCGCCAAATGCTGAGGTGGTAAAATATAAAATAAACGAAGAAACAACCGTTGACTCATGGCATGTTAAAAATCGACGGCCAGATTTGGCCACCCAGTTATTCAATAATTCACCCAGCTACTTTGATTATTCCACCCAAAGGATGGGTGCTTTACCAATTACTGGTCGGTTTAGACATTGTGACTGAGTAATATTAGGGGTGGCAATTGGGCTGGTTCGGCGCACTTGACATGAGTTTGGGTCTGTAGGCCAGGTCTAGGTCCAAGTGATATGCATTCGATCTAGCTTAAGTACGCGTCTGAGTCTAATAATCTACACCTAATACAAGTTCAGGTCCGGCTTAGGCCCACTCTACCCGACTTGTTAACATATCTGCCAAATATTGTTATGGGTTTTCTTGGTGACAAAATTTTTCATTAAAAAAAATTACTCAAACTCTATATCAAAAATATAAATTATTGAATATTTTACTGGTTAATTTAAAAAATATATACAAAAAGAGATTTTTTACTTTTGTACAAAGAAGTCTTAATCACTATTGTCCTTTGGATTTCATATAATCTAGACCTAGCGCAAGTCCAAGTTGAGTTTAGGCCCACTCTACCCAACTTGTTAATGTGCCTGCCAAATATTGTTATCAGCTTTTTTGGTGACAAAATTTTTCATTAAGGAAAAATTGTCAAACACTATATCAAAAGAGAAATGATCCTATAGGACTTTATTTTAATCATGTATGTAGGACTCCAAAGAATCACTATTAAATTTGGCACAGATCTCTAAAAAAGTCAAGTCCCACGTTCATATTTTTTTAGGGATCTATGTCAAATTTAATAGTGATCCTTTTGAGTCCTACACATATGGGTGAGAGAAAGTCCTATAGGATCATTACTCATATCAAAAATACAAATTATTGAATATTTTACTTGTTAATTTAAAAAATATATATATAAATAGATTTTTTATTTTCATACAAAGAAATCACAATCATTATTGTCCTTTGGATTTCATATTGAATAGTTGTAAGAGTGTCACTGAAAAAACTCAAAGTTAAAAAAATAAAAAATAGTGGCCAGTCTACACCATTCAATTGGACATCTAATGAGTAGTAGTGAATGTGACTTCCTTATAATAAAAAAAAATGGGTCTCATTGTATATAATCCCTAATTTTTAAAAGTTGGTTAAAATGCACATGGAGTTGGGATAGTTGAAAATGAGCAAAATATTAAATAGTGGATGAGTTAAGTGTTAGTTATTTGATAATTCAAATAAATTTGACAAAGTCAGATATTGGTATTTGGAAATTCTGGGATCATAATTATAGTCAAGTGAAATATTGATGTTTGAAAATATTTGTTACATAATATTAAAGTGAAATATTGGTGTTAAAAAAAATTAGACATCTAGTAGTTTTCTTCTAAAAACAATTGTTTCATGTAGGCTGGACCACATTTTTACCACGTTTGTACAATATGTGGTCCAGAGGTACAAAGCATCCAACTTAACTAAGGATGGATGCAAATAGGTGGTTCATCAAAAAATAATTGTAACTAAGTGACCAAATGTTTTTTTATTGTTTTAAATTTTTTTTTTTTTTTATATTCATGATCTCTATGTTAAAAGACTATATATTATATAAAAATTAGGATCAAATTATAGTTAAAAATATATTTATTGCCAAACCTATATTCCTACAATATGAACGCCATCGGCATGCTAACCACGTCCTTCTTCCAAAGTATAAAAAATGTTTAAAATATTCCCTTTTAAGAGATTTTAACTATCGACTCATGCTTGTGTTCCCCTAGATGTTTTTTTCTAAAATTAGGACAAAAAATGACTAACAAAAAATATCATGGTCAAATAATGCAAATGTGTGTTGTTCTTTAAAAGGACAAAAAGTAACCAATAAAGATGGTATAAAAAATGGGTGCTATAGAGGTCAGGTAAGGTGCACTTTCAAAGTTTATCTTGGTATATAATTTTCATGTAAAAGGTTTTTAGGATTCTCGTAAAATTTATTTTTAAATTGAATTATAAAATTGTAATTTAAAAAATAGTTGAAATCAAATAGATCTATAAATATATGAAAATCTTGAAAATAAACGGTATAGATAATTTGTTGTAAAATGCACTACTTTTGATATTTAAAAAAAAAAAAAAATATTTTTCATTGTCATAAATCTCGATCTCGAGATGATCAATCAAAGGGTTTTTCAACATTAAAACTACCTTTTCGGATGGATTTTTTAAGTACATATGTAATTTTCCATTATAGTTGTATCTTTATATAAACTTTTTTTATGAAAAATTGTCCCTTTGGGTAGGTTACTAAGAAAATGGGTGGCCATATAAATCTCATTATTTTTGTTGAATTTTTTTATTTTTTGGACTTTCCGAGATTTCCTATAAAATGGTCTTCAGACTCTTCACCGATTCAAAAGAATCGTTTAAGCCATTAAAACTCTCCCCTTTCTTACTCAGACAAATAACCCTAAAATTGGGCCTACTTTGAAGGCTCTGTAACGCAAAAACGAGAAAAACTCTGCGATATTATTGAATATTTTCCCATTTATTTGCGTATTTTTCGAGATAATGATGGCATTATCTCCGTCTGTCATCAGCAAATTCAAGCTTAAAGTCTCTGGCTCTTCACAGTTTGCAGTTTCTTTTCTGAGTTATCTGGTGATTTTTAGGGAATTTTTTTGGGGTTTTAGGGCTTGTGCTCCGTGTTTTTTTGGGTATTAGGTTTCGATCTGGTGCAGGATGAACGTGGTGAAGTCTCAGGTGTGGCAACCTTGTAAACGCAAGCGTTTACGCTCAGTTTGAGAAGGGATTTAGGGATTTGGAGTCGTGAATTTCTAGGGTTTTGAGGGTTGATTTTGAATCGTTTTAAATCAGGGCGTGAAATTGTTTGGACGGTTCATTTGGGGATGAGCTTGCAAGCGAGCAAGGCTTTCATAGATTTTGAGCTCAAAATTTCTAGGCTTGCGGTAATGAATTGTTAACTAATTATTTTGAAGGAGCCAAGAAAGTTTTCAGGGAAGTTTGAAGCTGTGGATCACGAGTTACTAATCAGTCTATTGCAAAAAAAGTTGCAGAGGAAGGATTTCTTTTTTTGTGGAATTAAGCGGATTGGATCATTGAGGTATCAATTTCTAGGGAATTGGTTTTTACGCCAATTGTTTCCAAGATGAGTTTGCAGGTGACGAGAACAAGGGTGGGGAAATATGAGCTTGGAAGGACTCTTGGTGAGGGAACTTTTGCTAAGGTGAAATTTGCTCGTAACGTCGAGACTGGCAATAATGTTGCCATTAAGATACTTGACAAAGAAAAAGTTCTGAGACACAAAATGATCGGCCAGGTAGCCTTCGTTTCTGATATCTTGTTCTTTTTTTCTATTCTGTAACTGTCTGTACTTCATTTTCTTCCTCCAAAAGAATCAATCTCTCTTTTTTTAAAAAAAAATGTTTCATGGTTCAATTGACCTATTGTTTGGTCTGAAACTATTCGTTGCACTGTAATTTGACAGGAGCGGGGAATAATTAAGAAGTGGAAGTGATTAGGATTTAGAGACTACATCTTCGTGATGTGGAATGATGGTTTTGAAGCAATATTTGATTGGTCTCCGATAAATTACTGGTTTAATAATTTATTTTCTCACTGTTAAAAAGGAAAAAAGAAAAAAATGATTGATTACTCTCTAAATTATGTGGTTACAATTTTGTGGATAATATATATATATATATATATATATATATATATATATAGATTTGCCATTTTCTTTTATCAAACTCCTCATAACTCTGTATTGGTTGTAAGAATTATGGGCTTATACTGTACTTTTACTAGAGAAAAAGGCAGCATATACTTTTTCTTGTCATGTACTGTCACTACTCAATCAGCACGCCATTTGTCTAGCTTCTCAATGTCATAGGTGATACATGTACTGTGTGTTTCTTTATCTTTGCGCAATATTGTTAATGGGCTATGAAAACCTTGATCCCTTTCATGGCTACTTTGGTATTGCGGCAGTTGTTGATCTTTTGTCACCTTGGGATCCTGCATAATATGCAAGCCGATCCATCAGAATATTTGAAAATAGCTATAGCAGGTTCAAGATTACCTTTACAATTCGATAAAAATGAGGCTTGATGTGACCCATTTGATGATGCCACCAAACCTTAATTTTGAATATTTAATGGGTACTTTATATTTCTGTTTCTGAGCAATGGTTCGCCTCTTTTGTTTGTAAATTTTTTTTTGATAAATATAGAAGAGTAGTACAAAGAAAGTGTCAAGAAGAACAATAAACATAGGGGATTAAGCATTTCTTTCTTGGATATGTCTTGATTTAGTGGTGTTGCCAATGTTGCAGGTTAGGTTGTTTGCTTAAAAAAAGTTCATTTTCATTTTTGTCTGTTTAAATGACTTATGTTACTTGCCCCTATATATTTCTGAATTCTGATTGTAAGTTTAGAAGCTGGTGGATATACTTTTTTGAGTTTCCTGGCTTCTGTGTCAACAGATAAAGCGCGAAATATCTACCATGAAACTGATCAAACACCCAAATGTTATACAGATGCATGAGGTATGATAGCAGTTTCTTTGTCCGTTTTTGCTTTACCTGGATATTATATGTTAGGTTATATTCTTTTTGGTTTTTCCTATAAGCGGCTGTAATGTCTTTAGAGTAATCTCCAACTAAGATATTCTGTTTATATAACATAAAGCATTGATTTCTTACCTTTCATGCTAGATTTCACTATGAAGTCTCAGTAACCTCTTGGAGTGCTGTTGTTTGTGCAGGTTATGGCTAGCAAGACAAAGATATATATTGTTATGGAATTTGTGACTGGGGGTGAACTATTTGATAAAATTGTATGTGGTTGAGCTGCTGGAACCATTTTTGTATTTTTTGGATGGTTTAATGCTAGGGATTGATCTTGGCCCATAATGTTGCAATTGTCAACGACCAAGCAATCAAGACCAAGCCCGATTCCTAAGCTAGTAAAATTTTACTGGTAGATTTTTTGAAAAATAATCTGAACCACGTATTTACGCGTAATGAAGTTCTCTCTGATCAGGTTAATCATGGAAGGTTGAAAGAAGATGAAGCACGGAAGTATTTTCAGCAGCTAATTAATGCTGTGGATTACTGCCATAGCAGAGGCGTTTATCATAGGGACCTGAAGGTAATGAGAAAAAACCCTGTTTATCCTTTGAAGCTATTGCCTTGCATTGAAAATTTAAGACTGTACAGAAAATAAAATAAGGAATCCAATTAATCTTAGAAGTTAAGTTGTTCTTATGCAGCCAGAGAATCTGCTCTTGGATTCTAGTGGTGTTCTTAAAGTCTCGGATTTTGGATTGAGTGCATTAGCTCAGCAAGTTCGAGTAAGTAAAGTTATCTCGATTTGCTTTTATTAAAACTTATATCCCAATTTTTAACTAGGTATGAGATGAGAGATATGTCTTCTATTTTTTCTTTATGGATCTTCGCACCATTGGAAATTGCATTTCCCAACCAGTAGAATGATTATTTCAGGGAGATGGGTTACTTCACACAACCTGTGGAACGCCAAACTATGTTGCCCCTGAGGTATGGAGAATCAATTAATCTTTACTATTTTTGCCTTTTGAAAATCATCCCTTCTGCTATTTATTTGAGCTGTGCTCTTTGCAGGTTATAAATGATAAAGGTTATGATGGGGCAAAGGCCGACTTATGGTCTTGCGGAGTGATCCTTTTTGTCCTTATGGCAGGCTACTTGCCCTTTGAGGAATCTAATCTCATGTCATTGTACAAAAGGGTAAGAGTTAAGTTGTGCATATGTTGCTTTGCATCTTTCAAGTTATGAGCTGAATTTGATTCACTTTTGGGGGTGATTTGGATATAAAAGCTGAGAATTTTGGCTTTTCTATGGATTATTTGTAGATATTTAAGGCGGATTTTACTTGCCCTTCCTGGTTCTCTTCAAGTGCAAAGAAGTTAATAAAAAGAATCCTGGACCCAAATCCTAAAACTGTACGTAGCTGTTCTATCATTTTATCTTGTAATGCATTTAAGACAGCGATTTTTTTATGTTGATAATGGAAAGCTGCACGGATGAAATTTCAGGGGGAAATTATCTATCCCTAAGATTGATTACTTGGAATATGGAGCCTATGATTATGTATGCTTTCCTGTGCTTGCAGCGTGTCACAATTGCTGAAGTTATAGAGAATGAATGGTTCAAGAAGGGTTATAAGCCACCTGTTTTTGAAACAGCGGATGTTTCTCTCGATGATGTTGATGATGTTTTCAATGAATCTGGGGTACTAATATTTTGTGTTATTTTTCTCTTTTATATTTATATATTTTACTTACATTAAATGTTCTGTTACCTTGGTTGAGAAAGGTTGGATCAAAAGAAAATGTTTTTTGATGGGGTTTTGGTCCTACTTAGGAACCTGGAAATCTGGTGGTTGAGAGGAGAGAAGAAAGACCTGTCATGATGAATGCATTTGAACTTATTTCAACATCTCAAGGTCTCAATCTTGGCAGTCTATTCGAAAAGCAAATGGTATGCATCTTGACAAGCTTTACCAAGTTAATGGCTTCATTTGCTGTACACGTGTTGCACTAAATTGATATTGCTATCAACTTGGCTATGTATGTGTAGCTAATCATAATTAAAAAAAGAAAAGAAAGAAGAACAATACATTTATTTTGTGTAGGCATGCTTAATGTCATACTTGCTTGCCATTTAGGGTGTTGTTAAAAGAGAGACGCGATTCGCATCAAAGAAGCCTGCAAAGGAGATACTTTCGAAAATTGAGGAAGCTGCTGGACCTTTAGGGTTTGATGTGCAGAAACGAAATTATAAGGTGTTCCTTACCATTCATCTTATACTTATCTAGTAGATGCTTCTTTTGAGGGTACATTATTCTAAATCACATGTTCACATAATGATGCTTTGCTTTCTTAAATACTTCCCTTTTTGGCTTTTTTTTTTTTGGATTAAATTGGGTATTTTGAGTGTTTCTTTTTTGCTTTTTTTTCGGATTAAATACTTCACAATTCTTTTTTTCTTTTTTTTATTTTTTTTTAGGATTAAATTTTTAAATTTTAGATTTTTTTTCGAATTTCTTGGCAAGGTAAGGACGGATATCCCTATTTTGGTGTTTCTTGAAAAAGTCTTGTAGCCGTTCTCAAAGGAATAATTAAGGGCAAAAGAAATATTTAAAATTGAGTAACCATACAAAAAATAAAATTTCATTTTTCATTGATTGTTTTCTCTTTGAAATCAGTTTAGCATGCCTTCACAAAAAATTATGCGAAAACTAAGATAAGGGGGGATATCCTAATAATTTCAATATTATGTATCACTATGTCTAGAATGCATTTCTAAGGAAAATATTTTTGGGTTCTCATTTCAGATGAAACTGCTGGCTGCAAAAGCTGGGAGGAAGGGTCAACTTTCTGTGGCGACCGAGGTACTCTCTCTCTATTTTATTGTGTTATTAATCAAATCGTCCCACCCCCCACTCCCCAAAAAAAACAAAAAACAAACCCCCTCTCTCTCTCTCTCTCTCTCTCTCTCTCTCTCTCTCTACATACACAGATATATAATTGAAAATGTATGTGCTTTGGTTGAGATTGACAATGGTTTTCCCTGAGCTGAGCAGATGGTTGTCACAACAACCTAATGCATTATACGATGGCGTTATTTATCTAATCGATGACTTATTTCATCTCATATTTATGTTTCGTTTTTCCCCCCTTCGTTATATGTTTTACAGGTTTTTGAAGTTGCACCTTCACTGTTCATGGTAGAGCTTCGCAAGGCGGGTGGTGATACCTTGGAATTTCACAAGGTATTAACCTCATTGACAAGTTCTATTATCAGTCTGAAGTCTTTCATATCTATCTCTCTTGTGCGCTTGCATCCAGTATTTGTAGAGATGGAAGTAGGTTCATGCTCATTCATACATGTGGGGAGAGAGAGAGAGAGAGAGCATTTCATATTTCTCATGAAAAAACCCAAATTTTCAAATTTTTGCAGTTCTACAAGAGCCTCTCAACTGGTTTGAAGGACATAGTGTGGAAATCAGAGGTGAACATGAATGAACCATCATCAGAGAGCAACAAGCAAGAAACTGGCTAGAGAGAGAGAGATGTTAAGCATGGTGAAAAATCCCCTGCAACTTGCCTTTTCCTATTATGAACTCCTTGTTTGTTCTTAGCACACTGAGACTTCGGCCTAAGCCTTTCTTACAATTTTTTCTTATATGTTTCCTTTTCTAGTTGGTTTGATATATCTGTAAAGGCATTATTAAGATTGATAGGAATGGCTTTGCTGTATTGAAGAAGGTTATTGTTCATAGACAAATGGTTATTTATGTGCAAAAAGAATGTTCATAGACAAATGGTTATTTATGCGCAAAAAGATTGATAAATGAAGGATCATGCTTAGACTGAGTTCATGAAAGCCCTTTTGAGATTATTGTTTTTTTCGTTAAATTTATTATTTTTCATCAAATTTAGGGAAATTTATGGATGTATGTCCGAATATATCAACTACTTACCATTTTACCATTTCCAAATATTTCAATTCATGATAATGTGTAGTGAAAATTAAATAAAAAGATATCCATAAAATGTTAAATAGTTTATGAGAACTATATTGTAGTTTTCCTCTCCCACTTGACTCTCTCTCTCTCTCTCCCCACCTCTTTCTCTCTCTCTCTCTTAAATTCGAGGAGCATATTTGAATATTCTCTCTTTGAATATTCTCTCTTTTAACTCTCTCTCTCTAAAATGTGATGACCATTTGTAAGTATCTGCTCTCTCTTTATATTTTTATGTTTTTTTGTTTGTATATGCGGTTGGGGTGAACCGGTGAAGTTTTGAGTGTTATGTCGGATAGCGGATGGATGAGTATCAAATGTTACTTTTTTACGATTCTCTTTTGGACAGATGGTATCTGTCAATTTTGGAGGGCACTCCCTCGCTCTCTCTGTCTCTCTCAAATGGTCACATCCCATCTTTTCTAGTTTGATTCCATAAAGTTACTTATCCAACTTGCTTTGCATGACTCTCTCTCTCTCTCACTCAGTTTGTCTATCAAGTTCAATAATCTTTCTCTGTCTTAGCTTGTCTATCAAGTTCAATAATCTTTCTCTCTCTTAGCTTGTCTATCAAGTTCTCTCCCTCTTCCCATCAGCTCTTCCCATCAGTTTCATTCCAACAGGGTACTTGTCAAACTTGCTTTACATGACACCCTCTCTCTCTCTCTCTATCAGTTGCCTATCAAGTTCTCTGTGAACATAATTCACTCTAAGGTGTGGTTACCGATCAAACCAAGTCACCAACTGCGACATTTTAGTCACCACGTGGTGGTTTTCATTCCTATCACTTTTTAAAACTTACTCTTAATCTACTTGAAAGAATGAGTAAAGCTGTCTTCTTCATTGAATTATCTAAAAAAAAAAGTCGCCAACCGTCCACATTAGGAAAACTCTCTTATCTTCACATGTGAGTCTTCAATCTGGAGTTGCCCTCTCTGCTCTCACATTCTCATGCCCTCAAGCTAGGGTCTCTTCAGGGGTGGCTTTGGCCAGCCTAGAACCTGCCAACATGGGCCTTGACTAGGCCGAATTTTTATAGCTTGATGCGGGTCCATTTTTTGAAGGAAATATATACAAGAAGATTGTTTTCCTCTTGTACGAGGAGGTTATAATTTTTTTTGTTTTTTTAGAGATGTTTCATTTATAAGTTCAAAGTTCAAGAAACAATTTTTGAACTATGTAATGTATTGTGAATCGATTTGACATTTGATGACTAGAAATAATTGTGACTTTTTTGTTCTAAATGTAAAAGTTTATTATAAGATACAATCCCTTTTAAAATCATTCACGGTCCAAGCTAGGCATGTTCGAGGCCCACTTGAGTCCTTATGCCCAAAGCTTGTGGGCCAGCCCTGCCTGATTTGGCAGGCTTGTACATTAGGGTTGCCGATAGGTTGGACTCGGCCGTTCCAAGCTAGGTACAAGTCCAGGCCCAATTTATAAAGCCAAATCGAGGCCACTGGCCTAAGAAGGCAATCCAAGCTCAGCCCTACATTGTGAGCAGCCTGCTTGGCTGCCCTACTTGTCCCTCCCTTACAGACACTTCCTCTCTGTCTTCTATTGGTCACCAAACTAGGTTGCCCTCCCTCGAATGTTGGTACTCAGGATATAGAAAAAAGCCATTTGGATTGGGATCACTCGATTTGGATTGGAAATTGTAGGCTCCACGCCATCTTTACTTAAATCAGATGCTTCAATAAGTATATATTATGGGAAAACTTTTTATACTTCTCCTATAGTATAAAACTTATACATTTCTCCCTATCCAACTGTCCATTTTGAATGGACGGCTCATATGGCCCTAATCACAATGTCACATCTCTACACTATTTTATTTTTAATTTTTTTTATAAAATATTTTCATACCAAATTTTGGGCGTCCACTTTTATTTTAAACTCGTAACTAATAAAAAAATATCAAAAACATATTCCCAATAAAATAAAATAACCAAAATTCCCCTGAAAGTTTCAAAGGTATTTTGGTTATTATATTTTATGAAAAATATTTTTTTAATATTTTTTTTAGGTGCGTCCCAATGAGATGATGACACATACCAAATCTTATATTCATATAAATTTTCATTTAAAAAACTTAAAAATAAAATACTTTGAAGCTTTAGATCACTTGATCTAAAATTGGAGGGTTGGATGGGGGAGACGGCATAGCCAATTCCACCATACTATTGGGTTTGTATCAAATGGTCAGGGATTTGAGCCCTATGGTTTCCATCCTCCAACATCTGAAACACAACCAAGCACTTTTAATTCTCCGGATTAGGATCCGGGGACAGGATGATCGGTATTTTAAGTTTTTCGAAAAAAGAAAAAGTTTATGTAAACTTGCAACTATACACCAAGGAAGTAAGGCGCATCTCAAGAATCCTTTAGAAGGGAGTGTTATGAAATTGGAGAATCTTCAAATTGATCATCATGACATGGAGATGTGTGGATTTAAAGGAAAAAAATATAATTTCAAGTCCTAAAAAAATAGTACATCATGTAGTAAATTCTTTGAATGGTCTATTTTCAAGATTATTATGTGTTTATAAATTTGTTCAATTTGTACTATTTTGTAAAAATTAAATTTTATAACTAAAGATAAAAATAGATTTCCAAGCTAATACAAAGTACATGACACTGAAACTACATTTTCAAGTAAATTTTAGAGGTGCATCTTGCTTCTACAAGAGTGCGCCTTATACAAACGGGAAAGCTTATAAATCAGCCACTGCCTTTTTCATAGCCAGTGGCTGATTTATGCGCCTTACACAAATCAGCCACTAGCTGTTTCATCTAGATTTGTTGTCTTAGCATATTTTATAATTTCTACAAATCATATGAATATGAAATTTGGTATGTGTCATCATCTCAATGGGAGGCATCAAAAACCATATTGGAAAATATTTTCAAAAATAAAATAACCAAAATGCCCTTGAAAGTTTTAGAGGTATTTTGGTATGTTATTTTATCAGGACAATTTTTTTATATTTTTTGCAACGACGAGTTCAAGAGATGCATGGATGCCCAAAATTTAGCATCAAAATATTATGTAAATAAAACATAAAGAATCAAGCAGTGTACAATCGTGACATTATGATTGGGGCTACCTCAGTTGTCCATCTAGATTAGACGGCTAGATAGGGAGAATTATATAACACTATATTACTTACTTAAAAGAGTATTATTACTAAATGGACACAGGTTTTACAAGTCCATGTAGAAATGAATCACCTCTTAAAAATCAATTTTTGAGATCGATTTTTGCACCTAATTTTCAAGGACATGTGTCTCTAACATGGAGATCATAAATATGAAAAGATAAATAAAATTTAAAAATTAAAATTAATAATTCTATTAAGAAAAGGAAAATTGTTTCATGAGGGCTAGATAGCATATGCGGTTCAAAAAGTGTAAAGCATCCATCTTAAAGATAGATGCAAATAGGTGTTTTGGTGTTTTATCTAAAAACAATCGAAACTAACGGTCCAAATGTTCTTTTACGAGAATTATTATTTTTAGGTCTTAAAATTTATTTATTTTTTCATATTCATGATCTCCATGTTAGAGATTACGTATCCTAAAAAATTAAGTCAGTAAAATCTATGTCAAAAATAGGTTTATTAAGAGGCCCGCATTTCTACATACACGGGCTTGGCTGCATAGAAACCAGGTCCTTAAGAAAATATTTGGACAGTTAATTTCAATCGTTTTAGATGGACCACCTATTTTAAGATGGATGGTTTATATCTTGGGGACCACAAATGTAGAAATTCGGTCCCCGTCGCATGATACAATGGTCCAGTAATACTAACCAGGTTAGGTTCAATGTCTTTTGCTCCATGGCCAGAGTCGCGCGTAAACGAATTTGAAAGTTTGAAAGTTGAAACCATGGCTCCCCACTTATCAAAATCAAAATCCGCTTTCTCGCAAGTCACGGTTATCTCTCATCTCTGCTCGCCTCGCCCTTCCTTTAATGGCCAGACGCCTCACCTCCTCCAAACTCTCTCTCTCTCTCCAAATCCGCACCCCTCTCTCTCTCTAAACCCACATTGCTCTACCCAGACTGGGCTCAAAAGTTCCTACTCCCTACCAGAGAGTTGGACCTCAGGAAGCTCTCTTTCACTCTACCACCCCTTCATCTCTCTCCTCAACACTCCTCTATCTGCCCACCAATTCAAATCCATCCATGCCCACTTCATCCGAACCCACCTCTTCTTCGACACCTTCGCCTCGAGCCGTCTCCTCAAAGCCTCTTTCTATCACTACCCATCTCTCGTTTACGCTCTCCGCATTCTCTCTCTTACCCCATCTCCTGATACTTTCACCTGCAACACCCTCATGAAGGCCTTCTCTCTGTCTCCAACTCCTCAAAAAGCCATTCAATTCTATTTCAGGGCTCTTGGTTCTGGCATCACTCCTAATGCCTACACTTTTCCTCTCCTGGCCAAAGCCTGTGCACATTCTCGCTCTACAACAGACGCCCAAAAAAGCCATGGCCAAATTCTTAAACATGGTTTCAATTCAAACCTATATGTGAACAATTCTGTTATATATATGTATGCTTGTTGCCATGAAATTGAAGTTGCTCGCGGATTGTTCGATGAGAGTTCTAAACCGGAATTTTGCAGAGATTCAGTCACTTGGGGTGTTATGATAACTGGGTATGTTCAAAATAGCCATTTTTCAGAGGGTTTAAACTTGTTTAGAGAGATGATGGGTGCTAAAATGGAACCCAATGATGCTACATTGGTTAGTGCTCTCTCTGCATGTGCTTACCTTTGTGCATTGGACCATGGGCAATGGATTCATGCTTTTTTAGAGAGAGAAAGAAGAGAAAGAGAGGGAATAGATGTAATCTTAGGCACAGCTTTGGTTGATATGTATGCTAAGTGCGGATGCATAGATGCAGCTAGAAAGGTTTTTGATAAAATGCCTGAGAGAAACTTGGTTTCTTGGACTGCTATGATCAATGGGTTATCGAACAATGGGCGTTCTCATGAAGCCATAGACGCGTTTCTAGAGATGGAAAGAGAAAGCATTGAGCCAAACGACATTACGTTTGTCGGGGTCCTCTCCGCTTGTGCAAACGCAGGTTTGAAGGAGGCCGGATTTGAATATTTTGAGAAAATGTACAGGGTTTATGGGATCAAGCCAAAGAACGAGCACTACAGCTGCATGGTAGGGCTGTTAGGGAGGTTGGGCCTACTGAGAGAAGCAGAGGAGTTCATCAAAACCATGCCTTTTGATCCTGAGGCTTCGACTTGGGGTGCCCTGCTTGGTGCTTGTAGGCTCGCTAACGATGTAGAGCGAGCCAAATTCGTGGGTTCAAAGCTTTTAGAGCTTGACCCCAGAGATGGGAGCCGATATGTCATGTTGTCGAACATTTATGCAGCTTCCGGGCAATGGGAAGACATGGCCGAATTACGAAAGACAATGAGAGAGAAGCAAGTGAAAAAGGTGGCTGGCTGTGCTTCCCTCTCCATCAATGGCATAATTCATGAGTTTGTGGCCGGTGATCGGTCGCACCCGAAAACTGATGAGATTTACTCGATGTTAGGAGAGTTAGAGGAGAGATTGAAAAGAGAGGGCTATGTTCCTGATACTAAAAATGTTTTGCATTACATGGGAGAAGAGGAGAGAGAAGGGGAACTGGGACTTCACTGTGAGAGGCTAGCAATTGCTTATGGTTTCATAAGCACTGAGAATGGGGTGCCTCTTAGGATTGTAAAGAATTTGAGAGTTTGTGGGGACTGCCATTTAGTAACAAAAATGATATCAAAAATCTATGACAGGGAAATTGTTGTTAGGGATAAGAATCGTTTTCACCATTTCAGGGATGGATCTTGTTCTTGTTCAGATTACTGGTGAAATTAGGTTTAAGGGTTTAAGTGTCACAAAAATTAGAACAAAATAGACGTAACCAAAAATTGAGATAGAAAACAAATTGGTTGAATGTTTGGAAGTTCTATATGGACACACTAAGGATTGTATATTAGGAGACCATTCACTTTTGATACAAGTAGGTTACAATCACTTTTAGCTATTAGATGTAAAATCCGACCGATTGATGTGTGTTACGATGTTTAAAAAATTTTATTTTGAACTTTGTGTCCAGTCAAGTCAATGGTGCAACCCCTACTACCCGATTTCACATCTGACAGTCAATAATAATGGTAACCTCCTTATACCAAAAATATATGGTCTTATTGTATACATTTCCTAACAATAGAACTATTTATGTTTAGTACAAAATCATCACCATTACTTCGGCTTTTGGATGTGAAATCGAGATAGCTTGTCATGTCACCAAGTGCACTCAAAGTAAGAGAAACTTATTTCGAACTCAGGAAAAAATGAGAGCCATCCAATTTCTCATTTGAGTGCTAATGGTGACCCTGCGACTTTTTCGTATCAAAGATAAATAGTCTTATATTCTAGAATCCCTAATGTGAATGGGTGGAGTCCTGAAGTGATGAAAATAGCTAATGAGGGCTCTTCTTTGGATGAGTCATCCCCGAAGTCTCATAGTTGGAAGACTGATAAAGGGAGCATCTGACTGAGAGTGGGCTGAAGATCCAACCTGTGAATGTCAGTTTCGATGGCTCGTTTGAACTGATTGTAAAGGCCTTGACTGATGATGGTGACCAAAATGACTATCAGAAGAAAGGGCAAGAAGAAATTGTCCCATGGAATGGAAAATCTAGTGAACTGGGCTGATTTTGACCCCTTATTGCTGACCCATTATGTGTCTTGGAGGGGGGAAGGGTTCAAGTCTGAATGAAGATATTTTGTTGGAACAACAGAATGCCGAGGAACATAAAAAGGAGGAGAGTTTTGAGGTTACTAATTATAAAATACAAAAAAAGAAGAAGAAAAAGAAAAAATACCATGAATTGTTATCCTCCGATAACCCAATATCCAAGTCCCTGGTGTTAGTTTTATAACATCCTTTTGGGGTTCATGCCCATTGTCATTCTTTGCAGTTGGTTGTTCAATTTGGAAATCATGGAAAGAATGGTCTTGGCAGTTTTTGATGGCCCTGTGCCAAGCTTTAGATGGCGTTTATTGTGTGCAGCGCAAAGCCAAGATACTCGGGCCCTAGCCAAGCCCGAGTTGTCCTGAGTTGGGTGTCCAACTCGGGGATATTAAATTCAAAAAAAATTATAAAAGTTTTTAAAACTAAGGAATTTTTTTGGGAATTGTTTCTTTATGATTCCTATCATTTTGGTAAATATTAGAGTTTTTTTTGGTCCATAAATACTTATTTTACTTTTTGTCATCTTTTTTAGATTGTTTCAAAAATATCCCTACCTACAAGTTGATTTTTTTAAATCCTTTTTTGTACTACTTTTGTTAATCTCATTTTGATGTGTTTTGCTTAATCTTACTTTAAACATATATTTCTTGTTTTTTTAGATTTTTTGTATTTATTATACTTTTTTTTAATCATTTTTTTGTTGCTACAATACTCATCACTACTCAAGCCAAGTTACTTGGAGTCAGTCCAAGTACTCGAATCAGGCATGAGCCAAGTACTCAAATCGAGCATAGACTGAGTACTCGGCCCGAGTAGCGATTTCCAACACTGATTGTGTGTATGGTCCAAATTCTGATTGTTTCTTTTTCTGCCGAATCGTTGCGACACAAGGCTAAAATTTATCGTAGTTTCTTGGAGATCCAACTGCCTTTGTGTGGGCCTGTGATTTTAATAGAATAAGATGGCTCAGTGAATCAAATTCCCAATCTAGACTAAACCCTTACCAAGGAAATTGATCTACTTCATTCAGAAGCATGATTTTACCTTTTCATTGTTGGCACTACATATAGGTTGAACAATTCTGCTCAAACCTTGAACATGTCAAAATTTGATCGATTTCTTGTTTCACTAGTTTAAGAAGCTGCTTTTCCAAAAGCAGTGGTGAAAGCCTTACCGTACTTAGCCGCTAACAATGTGCTTCTTTTACTACCATCCGCTTTTCGCTGAATGGAGTGGGAATAATTTCGGAAATCTCTCACAGCAAATCAACTTCAATCACAAATAAAATATAGGAGATTAATCATAAATAGCAATTACAAATGAATCTTTCTGTCGAGGATGGGCTATTGTGAAGAACATACAAATTTTAGAAGATATACTGAGAATATATGATAAATGAATCTTTCTATGGAGGAGGGGCTATTGCGAAGAAAATACAAATCTCATAGATATACTGAGAATGCATGATATATTTTGTTTTCAAAGATCTAGATCAAATGGTGTTGAAGAGGGATATAAATGTCACCAAATATTTTATGCCATTGCTTAGTGTTTTTAAAATTGACTCAGCCAAAGTACTCCGTCCTTGGCCGAGGCGACTCTCAGCTCACTTTTTCTTTTTTTTTAAAGAAAATAAACATAAAGGTTACAT